TAATTTGTACGGTATCATGTCCAAAACTAGATTTGATTTTAACTGAAAACTTTAAAGTGGTTAATGAATAATTTATCTAGTGATGTCCATCCTGAAGATTGTAAGAAGAATATCCTTCCACTCTATCTTTTCAAACATTCAAATCTAGTTCAGTTTTCACTTGTATTAACCACAAAGTTGGTAACTTTTCTTTAACATAGCTTTCCGGTATTTGTGAAAAATTGAAATAAAATTCAATGTGAGACCCGATTTACTGGGGCTATCACCAACTAAATACAACAGCGTTTCCTGTCTAAACGGGTCACGTCTAAAAAAATCGCTTGGTTTGAACGTGATTTTAAAACTGTAATCCATCACATTTAATCACTAGTTCCGACGACGCATTTGTTATGAATTTACCTGAGATCACCAGAATAAGTGCTTGATTAGCAGGACCTTGTAAAACTACTCAAAAACACATTGCAGTCATTTTTTCCCCGAAGTTCTTGGATTACTGTCCCTAACTATGACAAAATGATCGCAGTTAATAGAAAAATCTCGGTCGTTTTGATCGAAAAGAATTCATGATCGTGGTCGTTTCAGGGAATGAAAATTATAAAATAATTAGAAATTTCATTTCAATAAAAGCTTCATTTCATGGACCACCGTAAAGGGATAAAAAATCAAAGGCGTTTTCTACTGGTGATATTGTAAACTCTATAGAGTAAACAAGGTGATACACAAAGACCTCAGCTTAAACCAAAGTCTAACTCGCTTCTGTCTCTCCTGCTGAGATAATCTACAGCCAAAATTGTGTTTTTTTTAAGGCAGTAGCTGTTCTTTATGGAATGTTTTAAAATGTTACATTTATGCATACCAAAGCTTTTTGGCTTCTTTCCGGAAGGGCGATGAGATCCACTGTCGAATATTTTGTAGTCCTCTTCACTTTGTTACACGACTTGAAACCACCTCAACAACAAGGTAATTAACAAAATAGCAGGCAAACAAGGTTACTCAAAGGGCGCTCATGAATAAAACACATTACTTCTGCACTAATCTTACTAATCACTGATTGTGTGTGAAAAGCCAGTAAGGTGGCACGTAGGGAAGAAATACATGGAGGTGTCAAGGTTCTAAAGATTATCGGTGGCACAACGTGTGTACATGCATGAGACAGTTTGATTACAATGTTTGAGCTCTCTTCGCTTTCAAGAAATCACATTTTAATTACAAGTGGAACGTGCTTTAGAGTGCAAAAAAGAAAAGTGTCATAAAACTCTTTTGTTTGACGAAACGTTCTTATTAGATGAACTACTTTTTTCCGGAAAATTAACGTTCATTGACAATGCATCAATCGTTTATTGAATTGAAATAAGCGCACATAGAAATAAAAGGACAATGGCTGTCTTATTAAATCTTTCATGAAAACTGAACACGTCAGAATTTTGTGCGCAGGTATTGATTTAGGAAAATTTCGTTTTGTTGACAAGCCGCCTTTTTAAGAGCGCCATCTTTACTAAGAGCGGCAACTGGGCTTCTTCAATTACGTACAGGTGAATCTTGGCTAAACCCTAATAAATAAGGTCATCAAAAATAGTCTCAGTAAAGAGAAATTATCATCGCGGGTTGATAGCTTTTTTCTCTCTTCAAAGCTAGTAAAAACAAGAAAAAAATTCAAACTAATTATCAACTGAATGCAAGTGTCGCCGAAACAACACCTGTGAGCCCTCTAACGCAACTGAATTTGAAAGGGAAACAAGGGCTTTTCTTCGCAGGGGAATTAAGCCGTCTGCTTCTTCCATAGATTGCAAGGTAATAACATTCTTCGCGTAGGTTTAATTGCACTTGTTTCAAAGCAACGCCGATAGAACAAATTAACAAAAAGAATAGTTGTTCAAATGGGACAATGCGCGTCAACTTCAAATCTCATTATCAAATTACTGGAGGCAGAACGGATGATATGCAGCCGGCATTCAGCTGAAAAACCCATCAGCACGTACTGCTGACTTGCCAATTAGATTAATTAGTAAGAGATACAACTTCTAGTTCCGGGGAAAATTTTAAGAAGGCTTATATAAGGAGAAAAACAACACACGCAACTATTTTTATGCACCACACTAGCAGATGTTTTTCGATTGTAGCCTAAAAAAAACCGTCTAGCGACTATTTTGAAAGATTTAAAAAGCCAAATTATGATACCCAAACCACAATATGGAAGTGGTTTTTTATCATTTTTGGGAAAGGTTATTTTTAGGGCTGCTTAAACTGCGAAATCTTTGTGGTAGTGTAAGTGGAATAGAATGATGACAGGTTTTCCCTCGGAAAGGAAAAATAGGCCATACTTTTCCACTGAAACCAAGGAAGAATTGTCTTTGGTTCTGTTCGACCTGACAAATGTAGTTGCCTCTGATTTGAGCAAACTGTCGACTCTGTGGATGAAAGCAGAAAGTGTGTACCTTCAAATGAAAGCTCCAGAGCAGCATTTTCTTGCGGTACTGTTTGTTATGCGGCACATGGTTCCAACTTTTCAATTTGAGATCAGGCCTTATATATTTTTGTGCTCAGCTTGGTAAAGGCGAAGCCAGACCAAAAGAGACTGTTGTATAAGAGCTGCTAAAATCTCAGGTTCTAACTTTCAAGTTTGCGCACGTATCAAGAAAAGCGGGTCCAATTCGAAAACAATAGGTATTGTTTTCTGTTGTAAAATTGGCCATATTTGGTCATTTTTGAAACGACTTAAACAATGGCGTCTTTACATGCAAAATTCCGATGACTACCGAGGCGGGAAATTTGAAACTTCGGCGAGTGTCAAGTAGTGAACAATATTCCTTGGGGGGGAGGGTAAGGGTAACATTTGCCTCGAAGCGAAACACACTTAGAGGAAGAAGGTCATAAATACTGTCGTCACCCTATCGGTTCGGTTACACAATGGCAAAGGTTGTTTTAGGTCCTCTGCTAATATTGTTCAGACAGCATTTAAAGATTTTTTTACAAATTTTTAAATTCAGCACCCGGCTACCCGGAGAAAAAATCTTTCATTTAAGACCCCTACAAAGTTTTCATCGAAAAGTGGGGGACATAATAGGGCCATTTATACGAGGAAAAATAAGACGCGTGTTAAATAAGACGCGAACTGGACCATTTATACGAGCATGTCTTATCTAAGACAAAAACAGCTGGTATAAATGGTTCGCGTCTTATTTCTGTTCTTGACTCGTTTTCATGTGAATGTTGCCCGTAGCAACGGCAATCCAACATGGCGCGCGTTTCAAAGTTACGACGTCATGTTGCAATTTGTGTTTCTTTTGACCTTTAACGGCGTGCTCATTGTATTTGAGCGAAGAAAAAAAAGCAGAATAGACAAGGAAACGAAAGCGCGTTGTAATTTGTAAACAATTTTTCCCCGCCAGTAGCCTGCTAGTCCATTGCGGGGCAAGCGATAATTTTCCCGCCAAAAATTAACGCATGCGTACTATGCGTTCGCGTCTTATGTAAGACGCGAAGGTCATTTATACGAAATTTTTCTCGTCTTAGCTAAGACGCGTCGTATCTAAGAACAGGTGTTAAGGGCTGTTCTAAAATAAGACGCGTCTTAGCTAAGTCGCGTCTTATTTTAGACGAAATGTGCCGTTTATACGGAGAGTTCGCGTCTTATTTAAGAGGCGTCTTATGTAAGACGCGTCTTATTTTTCCTCGTATAAATGGCCCTATTGTCGCTTTTGATTACACTTCGCATGGCTTCCTTGCTTCTCACAGCGTTATGAAAAAAGCATTTAAATTCTGTGCTTCAGTTGTCTGACAAAGAGAATGAATAAAAAAGTCTCACATCCCATTCAATTAATGAACTAAAACGTGCCCTGTTCGTGCCTTGTTTTATCCGCGCGCGTGCACGTTCTAATCCTCTTCAGCGGAAAGGCGTTTTCGTCATGAAAACTTGGCTTATTAAACTTTGGAATCACTGATTACGAGTCTTCATAGCCAATAACATCACTGCTTAACTGACAGACGGAAAATAACATAGCGACGTAATTGACCAATCAGAATACCATCAACTGACGTGATACAACTCACTTTGACTCTGAAGATGACTACCGCCTGGGTTGTCGAAACGTCAGTCACTGTCAACAACAACAGTCCTATTCAGGACTACGTTCACCCGGACGATCAAACTCAACCTACTTTTGAAATTTCTCCTGGGTTCAAACCTTTCACAGTTTTCCGAAAAAAGAATACTTGTGCGCGTTAATGGTAGATAAGTAACGCTGGAACTGGAATGGGTGATGTGCTCGTTCACGTTCTCGTTGTAGTTGCTTAAGCTCGCAATTCACCACTTTGGAGGCGAGATGCGTCCCGCAATTGTTTCTGGCATCGTTACTGGGGACGCGCCGGTCCGCTATTTGTTAATTTTTTCCCTGTCCCTGATGACAGTCATTCGCTGAGCTACCGCGCCTTCAGCTGTCCCGTTTTCATTCCCCTTCGTCAACAGTAGCTGGTTATAAGGATGTAGGATTATCAGAAACGGGAAAATATTTCGATATTTCGACGGGTGACCGTTTAAAGTGAGAATAGAGGTATTACGGTTGAAGCTGAAGCATGAATGAGAAAAGTTATTTCAGCGCAGCCGTCAAAGAAGCGCAGCACCAAGATAAGCGCCGCGTCGCTTATTCGAGCAAATATGTGTTTCAGACCATAAGGTCATTTCTCTACTGCTGTAATTGTGGGTTCTACATACATTCGAAAAAAAAACTTGCAAAGTCGTTAGATCCAGTGAAAAAAAAATTATTACGGTTAGAAATTCATTTATTTGATTCAAATACATAATATTACATCACATCGTTAAAAGAAGAGCAATATATAAAGTGTTTTTCTTTAAAGTAACTGAAAAATGAAGTTAAAATTACTATTTACAAAATGATATCATCTTATAATATTAAGGTACAATTAAATGTTAGTAATGGATCAGAATCATTAAAAAAATGCTTTCTAACTTTCTGTGAGCAGTGTTGTTAAGTTCTTGTTTTCTCCTGTTTTCCTCATTTTTCTAGTTTATGCGTTAAAGTATTGTCAAACTTTCTTTGACATTGTTCATTTTTTAATTAAACAATTTAAAAAACACAGACACAAACAAGTGAACTATTTTTAACCCCAGCAAAACAACAAAGGCTTTTTGAAATGGAATACTTTCCCGCTACACTATTTCTTACAGTACACCCCTACTTCACACAATGTTTTATTTACACTACACTACAGTAGCACCAAAGTGGACTCTTGGAATAGACATACCACATACATAACTCCACTGGTTGATTGTAGGGTCATACACTTCCACACTTGACAGAAACTGACCATTAAAGCCCCCAACGGCAAATATTCGTCCTTTCATTACTGTCACACTTGTCGCAGAGCGTTTATCATTGAGTGGTGAGACTGATGTCCAGGAATTTGTCTCCGGGTCATACACATCTGCATCCTGAAGATAATTGTTTCCGTCAAATCCGCCAATGATGTATAGAAGGCCATCAAGCACTGCGACGCCAGCAACAGATCTTGGTTTATCTGTAAAATGCAAATGAAATTTTTATATTGAAACTTAACACTAGGGGTAACAGCCAGAGGTTACAAATTCACATTCCAAAGCTCATTAATAATTCATGGCAAAAAACAAAAGAAATTAATATTTAATGAGTGTCTTTATATTTGATAGATATGGCTAAACTTTACATTTTAGACCAAAATAACCCCAGATCTAAATATTAATGCAAGAATGAGTTGATCTATATCAGAGAATTTGAAGCTGTTCAAAAAACTCACAGGAGTGTATTATCAGGTGTAAAAACTCTTGGCTTTGCCTCGAGTTTTCAAACCTGATAATACATCACCCCTGCTTGTTAAGCTGTGGGCGGAGCTTTCGTTATATTATCTGCTTATCAATAAAGTTTTGTTGTTGTTGTTGTTGTCATTTTCTGTTGTTGTTTGGGTCTTTATTGGTCAGTCTTAAGTCGTTTGAAACTGTTTGGCCAGATGATGCCTTAGTGTGTTAAACTGAAAGTAACATTCTTATTGTATCATTGTAATCATTAGAATGATAGAATAAGAATGCTACAATTTGGAATTAATTTATGATGACACCATTGGACATCTTTGCTAAAAACCATCCAGACAAACATAAAATCATATTGAAATTTTGTCCTTTTGTTCTGTCTTTATCAGACCTACTTGCCTCCTCATTTTGGAGTACAGATTATTTGGTATTTTGCACATCCTAACCAAACTAGTGAGGTAGATTAATTAATATGAAAAATATAAAAAATCAGGGCTGTCCATAAGGGCCGGTAGCCTGGCAAAACCGCCGGTTAGTTAGCCATCCTTAGCTGGATACTTTAAACTCCTTCTACTTAACTGCTAACAAAAAAAAAAAGCACCATCAAATAAAATAAAACATCTGTTTCCCAGTTTTGAATGATTTTGAGCGAATATTTAAACAGGTTTTCTGTGAAATGCTTGAACCGTGCGATGTTGTGGAACACCTGGGACATTTCAATGGCATTCGTCCTAGTCTTGCGTGTATTCTGACGAAACAACATGGCATCCGCGTTGGAAAATACCTCTTCAAACCCCCTGGAAATGACATTTCTGAGACTCTAAATTACAAAATGTCCCTAGATGCCTCGGCCCTCAGAAACTTGTTCCTTTTTTGCGAGTTCCAAAGCCACCTACTATTCATTATCAGCCTGCTACTTAAAAACTTTTTGACAGCCCTGAACAATAATGCTGTTATTAATAATATTATTAAAATCAGCTGTCATGAAGAAAAAAAAGTCCATAGTCACTTGAAACTTGTGCATGTCTTTATGGAAATGATGATTTTAGTGATGTTAATTCCTTTAGATGACAAATGAAACAAGCTCAAGTTAAAGCTTTAGAAACACACACACTCAGACATGCACACACAAGAAAATCATTTGGAAGTGAAAATATCAACATTCACATAAAGCAAGCATATAAGCAAACCTTCCAATGAGCTTACCCATGGATGTCACATAGCTCCATTCATTTGTCTGGGGGTCATAGCACTCCACAGTGCTCAGCCGCAAGATACCATCATGGCCTCCCACAGCATACAACAGTCCACCCAGAGCGCCTACAGCCAAGTACATTCTAGGACTCGACATTGGGGCCACAAAGGACCACTGATTTTCATATGGATCAAAACACTCAACACTTTTGAGTCGACGTTGACTGTTAGAACCTCCCAAGGCATAGATTTTACCACCAAGACAAGTTGCACCAAAATATTTTCTTGACACAAGCATTGGAGCTCGAATTGTCCATGCATTTTCCTCGGGATCATAACTTTCAACAGTACTAAGAAATCTTCCATTTTCGAAACCACCGAGACAATAAATCTGCCCATGAAGTTGGGCAACTGCGACACCATAACGGAATGTGGGCATGTCCTCGATTGGGATCCACTCATCAGTGTACAAATTGTACCTTTCTCCAGATGCCACAGGAACACCAAGGTGGAGACCACCAACGGCAACAAGGACATCACCAAATCCTGAGGGAATGCGAGGCTGCATCTTTGTGGCTGAAGATTGCTTACGTTTTTCTGAAGTAGGAGAAGATGCATAAGTAAGTGCTTCTTTGAACAACTGCTTACATTCAGGATCATTTGACAGCAATTCATTGCTGAGAACTTGTGAATTCAGGAACGAAGGAGATAACACAGGAAGTCGGACACAGCTTAGAACTTCGCCTGAATACTTCAGACGGTCTACAGATTCTGAAATCCACTCAACAGCTGCGTTGAATACATCTTCCTCTGACCGAATGCAAACATTCTCATCCAACAACAATTGCTTAAGAGTGTCTAAAGGAAGCTCTTTGAACTCGTCACATTTTATTACGTCAGTAAAATGTTTCACCGCATATTTTCGGGCCTCGCTCCACAGTTCCTCGCACGAGAATCCACCAGCAAGCGCAGCTATACCGAGACAATTTGAAGGATGGAGTTGTTCTTTAAGAAACTGACAACAAACATTCTTTATCTCTTTCATTTGAAACAAATCCGACGCACTTAGAATGTCGTCCACATTGGTTTCATCGACATCCAAAGAAGAGCAGTACATGAATCGAATTATACATCGTAAAGCCGAGCCAGTCACTCCCTTTAAAGTGATGTTTTCGTTTTTACTCTCTTTTAACTTCCCAGTAAACATGGCCCTGAAGTAAGGGCTTCCCACGGACAGAATATTACGATGCGCTGATATTGACATTCCATCTTCTGTAAGAAGTGTTACATCACAAAGTTCTTCGAGATCCAGTAGAGATTCTAGTCCTTTGAGAACGATGGAGGGATTCGTACTTGAATTGTACCGAAAAGAAGACATAGTCATCTGCTTTAACTGGTAGACGCACGTTCTGAAGAATAATGGGTTATTTGAGTTAATTATTGTTTTGATTTCAAAAAATGTGGCAAAAGAGCCCAGAACGAGGGAGATTATCACGCCTGTCAGGATGGCTTTTACCGCTGGGCATCAAAGTACGTGGACCTAAAGCGCAATGAATCACGAGTAACCGGACACGAGTACTTTCCTGGGACATCTTCTTTGACCTCCTTCCGCGTCGAAGACCTTCTCTGGGATCGTTTGTTAACGTTTGACAAACATGTCTAATAAAAGCGAAGAGATGCAGCAATTTCTTGACCAAAATCAGTATTCCAGCAACAGTATTCTTCGCTATGAGAAGATTTTTGGACGCGGTTTTGTTAGTAGCGGAGGTCTCGAAACAACCAAGGTAGGGGAACGGAAATGGAAGAGTTTTGTTGTACATTTCAAAGACTGTTAAGCCAGATTCATTGAACCTGGTTAAATGAAGTCTACCGGTTTTTAACGAGGATGAAATCGAAAATTTTATCTCAATTTTTTATTGTTTGAAAGTCAAGGGGGATTGTAAATATTTCAGACTGGTCAGACTTTGGACTGTAAAACAACGAGCTTATATTTAAGAAACAAACCTGATCCTCAGTCGACTCGGGAAATTGCCTGGGGTTTCAGCACAATCCTTTTTCGATGGAAAACAAAACTAACTGTTTCCCTCAGGAACTGACATTACGTGTATTATACCTCCCTGTCTCCTAATGAGGAAATGGAACAGCACTGATCTTGTTTTCCTGAGGGTTTAAATTCCTTTTATGCTGAAGGGTAAAATCTAGGAAATTGTACATCGGGAGGGCCAGAGGGGGCGAGAGGGGAATTGATCTTAAAAGGATTGTGTATCAGATGCCTCAAAATGAATAGAGCAGAGAGTAACTATGTGTCCTGGTCGTTGATTCAGTATTAAGCAAGTAGCTTTTCTTAACTCAACAATTCAAATCAACTACAAATCTGCTGGGCCCAGGGGGTCCTCCCTATAATGGCCTATACGGGGAGGCTCTGCCCAAAAGGGGTACCTTTCAGGGGCGGATCCAGGTTTTTTTTAAGGAGGGAGTGCACTTGTCTCTTGCTCTACTTCAACACCAATAAACCACATAGTTTTTTTTTGGCAGAATACCAGTTGTATTAGGAAACCGCAGGTCATCTCAAGGGGGGGGGGTGTGCACCCCCTGCACCCTCCCCCTAGATCCGCCCCTTCCTTTTTCAGGTGTCAGGGATATGAAAGGGTAGGGATTTCACTAGTTGAAGCCCGTGAAAGAGTGTGTTGGGAAAGCTGTCATTGCGGTCTGTAGAAGGACCTGAAAGGGCTAACAGATGCATTTTTTTGATTTATGGCAGTGAAAAAGACAAGAGAACTTTACCGTTTGGTGGTTTATTCATATTTAAAAGAGGACACATTTACAGCAGTTAAAAAGATGCAGTGTTCTAAATTAGTATGTGACAGGGGTACCATTTGTCAATTTTTGTAAAAGGTGTACGAAAGGGGGCCCTTTTCTGTCAAAAGTGGTATATAAAAGGACAAGGGGTTGTACCTTGGAATCTTGTTGAATTCCCCCCCCCCCCCCACCCCCCATAAGGGAGTATAAAATATGTAGTGTTCTTAAATATGATGTTGTGGGGGTTCCATTTTGTAATTTTTTTAAAAGGTGTGCGAAAGGGGGGCCTTTTTTGTCAAAAGGGGGATATAAAAGGACAAGGGGTTGTTCCCTGGAATCTTGTTGAATTCCCCCCCCCCCCATCCCCTCTGGGATCAGAGGCTTCATAATGAATAGAGCAGATGCTTACCATTCTCTGTTTTTGTCATGGCTTTTATTCAGTTCAGACATGAAGCTTTCCTTAACTCAACAGATCAATGGATGGGGCAGCCCAATGATAATCTCCACTCAGTTTCTTTGTAAAAAACAAGTCGGTTGTCACATTCCGTATGCCCCATGCAGGGAGGATAGCAGCAGCTGTTTGTCATTCTCTGTTGTTTTCAAAATAATGCTCCTTGGAGGAATGCATATTCCCAAGGACATTTGACAACAATAACTTATGCAAAATTTGAGGGGCAAACAGGGTGTAGTATGGGGGATGTGAAGGCTGCATTTGTGAAATTCTCTTTGTAGACAGCTTGTCCAGATCATAGGAATTCAATTTGTTTATTATTTTTACTCCTGTTAATTATAACTTGCAAGTGCACATATATTTGTTCAAGCTAATTTACAGACACTCCACTCATGAAATAAGAATTTGAAACAACTTCTGATAATCAATAATCACCTCTGGACCCAGCTCATTTTTCTCTTTCTGTCTTTATTTTCTCTAGGAAATTGTAGCAATGCTTAGTCTCAAGCAAGGACAAAAAGTACTTGATGTTGGGTGTGGAATTGGTGGTGGTGCATTTTACATGGTGAAGGTATGAAAAATTATCAGAATGGCACTGCAAATAAAGTTTCCTTGCGGTGCTCCAAGTGGCTACCATTAGATTGGGGGAACTAAAGTTAGAAGTTGCTTATTCGGGGAGAGATGTATTTGGCAGTCTTGTGCCAAGCCATAGTGCTTTTATTAGTTCGTTTATGGTCTTTTTAAAGCTATGGTAAATGAGATACTTCTGAAAATTAAGGATTGGAAAACTTGCAGTTATCTATAGCTATTCCACTAACATGTGAAAAAAACTTACCTACTTGAACGGATCAAATTCTCTTTAAGGCCTTCATTCATTGGGATATTAAATAGCTATAAATAACAGCAGGCATTGTATTCATCATTCACGACTCTGACTCTTAAAGCTGAAATATTGTACACCACTTTGCGCCATCTTCTTACAAGTTACGATGTTGGTTTCTGTAATGACATGTTCGTTCCTTAGTGTAGTTTTTTTAACTACTATATTTCAAACTGTCAGATGGTTCTGGATTTCATCCATTTTTTTTGTAATCATATGGTTATTAAACAGATTTTGTCACGTGGCTAATCAATTGTATAATCGCAAACCACTCCACCAAGTCCTACGGTGTATTACTGGTATTTGTTATTTCCTATCCATGAAACTCTCAAACAGCTCTTAGAGCCAGGCATTTAATTTTTCTTTGTAATATCACTGCTTAGTCAGTGTCGAAATGTCAAAATGATTTTAAAATTTATTTTAGAATTTCAATGTGGAAGTGCTTGGTGTTGACTTGTCAACTAACATGATTGACATTGGAAAACAGCGAGCCAAGGAGTTTGAGGATGATAAGGTATTGATGTCTGATGGCTTTGCAGTCTCAATCTCTGTATCCCCTAATTTTGATAATTAACTATAACTAACACTGAATTTAGTTGCAATATGATATTGAATGTGTATGTCAGCTGATCAACAACACGGATGAGTCAGGAGCTAATGCCTGTAACAGGCTTGTATTGGAAAGCATTGTATCAGTGGAAAACTCAAATTAAACAATAAAATACTTCATTGTTTGCTTTGTCAGTTTTCTCTTTTATTACTCAGTTTATTATTATTATTATTATTGCTAATTTTCTTTACATTTTTACCATCCAGGTTGAGTTTGTTGTTGCAGACATAACAACTGCTGACTTCAAACCAGAATCATTTGATGTCATTTATAGCAGGGACACAGTTCTTCACATTGAGGATAAGAAATCACTTTTTGCAAACTTTTTTGTAAGTTTACTTTTTGTGACGTTTTACGTAGTTTTTGATCAATAGACACGAGTATTCACGTGTCGGCGCCGAAAGCTATGCGGTATAGCATGAAAATAACCTAACTCATACTGCACAAGCAATTTTTATATTGATACATATTTAGTGACTCTATTTTATGGGAATTTTCATCTCTTGACAGAAATGGCTGAAGCCTGGTGGTGAACTTCTCATAACAGATTATTGTCGCGGCTCCAATGAGCTGTCTGAAGCAATGAAGGTGTATGTGGCAAAACGCCATTACCATCTTCTCACACCAGCCGACTATGGGAAGGTAAGAGGTTTTCCCATGGCCCTGTTTGCATTGCGCAAACTTTTTTTAGTTTTGCTAAAATTCTTTCAACAGGAAGTCATTTCTAGTGCGAACAATTTTTTCACCGATCAAAAAATGTTCTCAATTGTCACCAAACTTCAAAGTTGCCTTCAAGTAGATTTGGAGTCTTGCAATTTTTTGTTTATTTTTAGAGTTTTTGCAAACGCCAAACTATCTTTCTTGTCGTTGTGCAAACAGGGCCTGAAGCAGGAATGACACTAAATAGAAGAAGAAGCAAAAGAAGCAGTAAAATTGAAATCGTCTAGAATGAAATTGCAAATTTAATTCCCAGAAGAAAAATGTACTCATTATCGATCAACTTATCCACGTTCATCAAGCAAAAACTCTTCACTGAGCACTTTTGACCAGGATTGTTCTAAATACTTCAAGAAGTGGGATAACATTTTTAAAAAGGGCATTAAAAATGCTTTTTTTTAATATGTCTGAAGAATTTCAGTTCCCGTTCATACGTATCCCTTTATTTACAATTTTGTTATATTTTGTTTGTTTGTTTGTTTGTGTATTGGCCCTACCTCTAGCCTGCGCTACAGACCAAACTTGACCGGGGTTAAATTACGTCTGTGATCTCCACTCTTATTCGATAAAAACGGTCGTGGAAAACGCACCTTTCTTGAAAACGCTCTCCTCAGTAGAAATGTTGAAAACGCCGGTCTATTTTAACCGTGTGGACAGTTACTAAGATCTTCCGTGGGATAAATTTCACAGCCACCTTGGCTTTTTGAAGACTTGAGGATAACTTAAAGCGGTATTCTTTCGGGAAAAATGTTTATGCTTGTTAATTCGGCAACTACGACTTTATAACTAGGTTTTCGAAAATCAGAGTTTAAACGACTCAACGGAAGTCCACGTACAAGATCTCGGAGCTTCTGAGTTAGAGCAGCACGCGTAATAGAGCTTAGTGAGACATCTTTGTCGATCAAACATTGATGTTAGGGGAATGGGAAAAGAATTTAGAATGATTCAAAGCCTGTCAGTATTAATACAATATTCGTTTTTGCACGGTCGAAGGCGATTCGAACTAAAAATACTATGAGTGGACGCAACTGTTCATTGAAAACGGAATACCACTGCGTTTTCAAACAAAGAAGGATATGTGTTAGTGTGGACGAGGGCCATAGACTTATTTGTTCGTTTTAATTTTGTTGTTGTTTGGCTAAGGTACAATGTTTCAAACGTTCTTGTCAGTTTTGAAATTACCGTGACTGTTCCTTTTTTCGTTTTTCCTTGCAGCTTCTGGAGAAAGTAGGCTTCGGAAACGTTAAAGCCGTAGACAACACTGCCAGATTTGTTGAAGTTCTCAAAGTAGAAAGAGCAAGATTTGAAGCAGAGAAAAGTTTATTTTTGAAGGTACAAGAAAGTATATGTATGAATTATCATCTCCTTCAGAAAATAATAGTCCAAGCAATATTCTGCAAGGAGAAGTAAGGAAGAATAGATAAAACAGATACACGTATTGCAAGGGTTTATGGAGACATCAGGGCCATTTATACTATTAAAAGTAAAACGCGCGTGTTACATAAGACTCTTCCCAAATAAGATGCAAACTGTACCATTTATACCAGCATGTCTCACCTAAGACGAAACCAACTCCTATAAATGGCCCTATTAAGCCCAGTGCAAACGGCCAACAACTCCCATTATTGCTGGGAGTTGTTGCGTTCGTTTACGCGTAGCTGAAAGTTTGACCGGTTTCAAACTTTGTGCAACAACTCCTAACAACACGCAGCAAGCCAACGTGCAAAAGGGTGCGCAAACGGACGTAACTTGTAACATCCAACATTTTTTTATGACTGGAAATTTTTTTTCCAACAGCGCGTGCTCTCATTGGTTACTTCGAGGTCACATGACATCTAACAATGAAAATGTTTCCCGCCAAAATCTCTGAGCGGGTCAACCTCGTTCCCAGGGTTCCCTCTCTTTCCTCGAGAAAGAACGGCTGGTTGCGTAGCTCCTAAAATCTAGGAGCCAAAAATAAGAGAGGGGAAGAAAAGTAAATAATTGTCACTATGACGAAAGTTACTCTGTCGGGGCCCAGAGAGGAGTTTACCGCCTTGTTTATTATCAGCTGATTACGCGTAGCCTGTGTACAGGCTTCCCCCCTCCCTCAGGAAAAATCGGGAGAGGAGACTTTTCCTGAGGGAGGGGGAACGTCTGTACAAGGCTAACTACGCGAGTTTTTGAAAATATCTACAACACCCGATTTTTCCTGAGGGAGGGTGGACGTCTGTACACAGGCTAATTACGCGAGTTTTTGAAAATATCTACAACACCCGAAAAATAGTGTAACCCTTGGAACGAGGTTGGCTATTTACTTGGTATATGGTGCACCAGCCGATAAATTAACCAAAGCGGAGAATACCATAACAATCTTTAAACTGCCGACTGGGTGGTGATTCATGTAAACCTGACTTTTGCGTTATCTTTTCCCTTTCATGAACTGCACGTGCGGAGTATGCAAATTTAAGAAAAGCTGATTTTGCACGTGCAAATCGAAATAAATTTTCCGTATCCTGTTGGCAGGAGGTCGAGTGATTTTTTTCAAGTACAAACTCTCTAAACAAATAACTTGTTTTGCCTTAAAAATAACGTTATCGTAAGTAGCCGAAAGTAACGCAGTTTGCATGCAACTCAGAACAGTCGACAAAATTTAGTGGAGGACCTACCCCCGCTGCGCAATTTATTAGGCACCTTAAACAAGGACGACGACGACGGCAGTGAAAAGGTCGGTAAAAATGTGAATTTGGGTTCTTTCAAACTTAATCGCGTCTGGTTGGACCCGCTCAATATGTCAAATGCAGGCGACTTTTCCTGGAGTTGAATTCTTAAGGATTTTATTCAAGTTCAAAAAGAGGAAGGAAAATTCGTCGTCGTATGTCTACGTCCTCCATGAAACGTCCAATTAGGAGGTTTCACGTCGTAGTCGTGCAGTGGCATCAAAGAAATGTGCTAAAAAACGTGATGCACGTGCAGAGCTGTTGTTTTGTTCATTAAACCTATTGTTTTTTGAACTTGTCGTCGTTGTGGTCGTCGTCGTAGTTGCTTAAGCTCCCTATTGACACACATTTCCACGTGAGCGGCTGCAACCAGGGTTCTTTCTCGAAGCAAGAGAGATAACCCTGGGAACGAGGTTGAAAGCGGGCAACGTTGCAAAATCTATGACGTCAGAGGGTAACAGTGCACTGTTACCCTCGAATGAACGACCGACCGCCGTTACAGCGAGGTTTAATGAACTTGCAGCTAAAAAAGACCCTTGGGAAACATTGAGATTCTCGGGAAACCAAATTAACTGTTTCCCTCGGGACCAGTTATGAAGTGTTTAATGTTGGGAGTTTCCTGCCAACAATGTTGCGTCCGTTTGCACGAGGCTTTATGCTTTAGTCAGCTATATAATTTATTCTTGGCAATCATTTGTTCTTTATCTTTTAACCAGGACTTTACCAAAGAGGACTTTGAGTACCTTGTTGAGAACTGGGAAACCAAACTTGATCGCTGTGGCCGGGGAGACCAGAAATGGGGCCTCTTTCATGCCCGAAAATAAATATAAACATAGGTTAATTAGCTAAAATGTAATTATGAATACAGTCATTGGAAGAAATTAAACAATGAAATTATTTTAATAGCAAAACAGTTTATTATTGTAAAAATTATTTTTTTGACGGTTTGATATTTTATTTATTCCATGCCAAAAAGTGTTTTAGTCATTTGAGTTAGTTTACGTTATAGTTAATAAAAATTCCTTTCATAAGACTTTTTATCGAAGTGATTCCTCCACATTCACTGGCCCATTTAAGAAAGTAAATTGTGTATCAACAACCTTGGCTTTGCCCCCCTCACCCCTTTCTCCATCTGCACTCTATCCCCGTTAGAAAAGCGAAATAGAAACCAGAATATAATTGAAAATCTTGACCGTTCATCCCTCTCCCTCCCTCCCCCCCCCCGCCCCACAAGAACGGGTAAGCATTACATGAATTTTCATTTGTAGTCTGTTTTATTTCCCTTGTCTAGTTTAGAGTTTTAAAATGGAAAGGCTTTTAAGGCCGATACACACGAGGGGTTTTACTCCCGGAGCATGCTCCAGGCTCATTTTGCACGTGTCAGTACACACTAGGGAGCGTTTTCAAGTTCGCTCAATTTGCCACGGGAGCGTGCTCTCAAATATTTAACCTGTTAAATATCGTGGAGCATTTTGCGGGGTGAAAATTCTGCTCCCGAGGATGGAGTACACCCATGAAATCGTTGGTACACATGGAGGAGCTTTGCTCCCGGAGCGTGCCCCTGGAGTATGCTCCGGGAGCAAAATCCCTCGTGTGTATCGGCCTTTAGATTGTCTCTCTGATCGCACTCTGTATAGAAAAATGCATCAATATCACGAAATCAAGAAATTATCCCATATCCTCCGCCGTAGGAGGAAACAACGCTTTTGTTGTGTTTTTTATTATATTATTATTATTGTTTTAAATATGGACCACAGTCGAACGTATCATCCTAGGCGGAGACCTCCAAAACGGCGAAAAAGGCAAGATTTGGGTATCTAGGCGAAAGAGTTACTTTTAATAAGCACCTTCAATCCGTCACCAAGTTGAACAGTGGCAAATGTGCTTAGGTTAAACATTCTCAGTAAATAAATTCAGATATGTTTCTAGCTGCTTTAGAAATTTAGTAGGATTGATTATGAGTCCGAGTTTTAAAACAGTTACCATACACCGTTTTCTACATTGAGGGAAGAGTGGATGAAAAAGGGAGGGGAGGGGTGGGAGAGAGTTGTGCCATATTTTCTCGCCTTCCCCCAACCCGGAGGGCCTGTTCGCAGACTTGCACGGATCGCTGGCTTGAGATTAACCAACTAAAAAATACAAAAATACAGTAAGACCCTGTCCACGTCTTCCTCTGATAGATTTTATGCGATCAAACTGAGCAGGGTTAATGAAAACGGGGGCTTCATTTGAAAACGCTCTCGAACGAGTTGTTTGAAGACAGAGGTCATGTCTTTGTGGACTAGCGAAAAAGAAAGTTTTGCAAAGAGTGTATGTCAATGTATTAAAACGTCTGACTTTTCTGCGTTTTCAGTCGATTGGAAACTAGGTCGAGTCACAAAAAAAAAATAAATGAAAAAAATAAATAAATAATTAAGTAGGTAGATAAATAAATAAATTAGTACGGTCGACTCTCTCTTAACGGACATGTACACTTCTATAAAACGGACACCTAGAGTTGCTCCCTGCCTTTCTTTACTCCCTTTATTTGACTCTGCAAGACGGACACGTAGTGCAAACCTCGTTCCCAGGGTCCTCTTCTACCCGTCCTTGCGGAGCGAGAGCGAGACTTTCTCTCGCTCCGCGGGGACGGGTAGGAGAGGACCCTGGGAACGAGGTTAACTTAGTGCCGGTCCCTAAGGTGACCGTCTAAGAGAGAGTTGACTGTAAACAGTTACTTTATGTCTGCTCTGCTAAGCTAACGCTGTATGCATGGGCAGGGAACCCCCGGCTCGACTACTCGGATGACGTAAAGTGCGCGGAAAGGGTTTTGGACAGTCCAGAGATGACGAGCCGGGAAGTAAGTCATCTTCGGAAATGCCTTCGGCAGGCAGGAGCCCATAACACGGAGAGTGCAACTCCCATACTTAGCCTATGCAACGGCGTTTTCACAGATCAAGTTATTTTTAGCATCATTTTAAACTGAGTAAATTGCGAAAGTTCCAGCTGCAGCTGCAGTACAACCTCGTCCCCAGGGCCTTTTCCCTTAGAAAATGGGAAGTACTGAAAAAATGGGAAGTTAAAAAGCCCTGGGAGCGCCGTTGGCTGCAATGGGCTCGACTAGTGTAGTTCCTTTTTTGGTCAGTCTGAGATCTGTTGTAACAGTTCAAAGACAGGCGTCATTTCTGCATCTTTCGTGCGAGCGAAAGTAGGTCGCAGGGGCAGGCGTGAATCTCTGCTTCGCCTCGCGCTTTGATCATTCTGGTCTAAAAAAAAAAGCAAAAGAAAAGTCCAAGATCTGTAGGCAAGTTCAATGAATCAGTTAATTACTCTTTAGCTGTTGATTTTGTGAGGTCCATCTGTTTCATTATGTCTATTAGTCCCTTCATGGGGGTAGTGACATCAGAAATCAGCTAATCTATTTTAACAGGAGTGAGGACCACAGGAAAAATTGGGAACAGAAAAAAAAGTGTGCAACTCTAACTCCAACCACCACCACCACCGGCCACCAACAATTTGTATAGCAAAAATTAAAGCTATATTAATAGTTACTCGCAAACCCTCCCAAAAGTCGCATTCGGTCTCGGTTCGCCAGGAACAATACTAGATGCCGGTCCCGCAAATATATAGCAACTAAGTTGTTACTTCTTTGCCTCTCGCCCCTCTCCAACTTCCATCTTCCACTTTGTGTATCTCTGCGCCTTCTCGCCTTTTTATCAGTCCTGTCTCATTTGATGGGTCGGCTGATGAAAAAACGACCTGATCGGTGGCAGTAGCCAATCGGTGGTTAAAAATCTAATAAAACTGAATTAAAAACTATAGAAGCAAAACACATAACGCACAGCAAGTTACAGCAAGTTACAGCAAGTGTTACTTGAGGACAGGAAACATGCTTTTAATTATTAACACTTCAAATAAAGGTGAAATTGGACACCCCAAAGCATTGTCATTCATGCTTTCTTTTGAAATTTGCAGGGCGACTGAATCCAGTTCCAGAAAGTGGTTGAAATGGACGGAAGACCTAGGTACGTTGTCGATCTGAAAATCGGAAAATCGATTTATGATTTTGGAATGAGTATTTTGTCATACAGATTGAGAGTAGCGCTTTAAGCTACCCAAAGCATGCCGATATGGCCGATATACCAAAAGTTTCAATTCGCGAGCGGCTGAGTTACAGCAAGATTCTGTACGCAGCCCTCTTCCCTCTTGTTCTCAATTGATGAACGCGTGAATCGAACTGACGCGATTATCAAAGCTTCTTTTTTCGGTTTAGAATGCATCACAAATAAGTAAAATCTAGATGTTTTCCGGATTTTTAACCACAAAGATCGCTCTGACCACTCTCTACCGCTGCTAACACGAGGTAAATAGTTCAGTCATAGTGAACCATGTTTCTTTATTTTTAGTTTTGTTGTTACTGACTTTCCTCTTTGCTTTTTTTTTTAAATATAACTGTAACAACGTAGGCAATCACAAAGAAACATAACGGGTCTAGCGTGATCGACGATTTGTAGCGTGCGCAAATATATATATGTACGGGTAAGGTCGGTAAGCGCAAGAAGACGGCAACTAAGTATAGCGGTTTGTTTTAGGGATTTCTGCGGTATTTCTGGACCATCGTAAACTAAAACTGCAGAAAGATTTGCAACAAAAAAACAACACGGCGCTACCGAGATAATAAGAAGTTACATTTGACAGTTCATGGCTCAGTCAATTCCAAGCGTGCCATTTCCCCCACCCCGGGCATTTGCCATTTTGTTTTGGAAAACTGAAGCTGCAAATGCCTCACGGTGGGGTTAATACAAAAACTCCACGGTGGGGCTCAACAATTGGGTGCAATTGCCCCACCCTGGGACAACACCAAAATTGCATTTTCCAGTAAATAAGCTGCAAATACCATATTTACGGGAAATCTGTAATAATCTGCTCAAACTCGCGCGTGAAGCACCAACCGCTCCAAGCCGCTTGTTATAATTATTGCAAAAAAGATCACATTGATCTGATAAATCCCAATGACAGAACTCTAAATTAGAATTTTAATAATACCTTTTTTTTTTTGAACATGTTTAATTTAGTGAATGAAACAAACAACCGCCGCGCTTTACATGTGTAATAACTATTTTCTCATGAATCAGGATCCGTTCAACTGTCGCATTGATCGTACAATACACGAAGTTTGTATTAGCTTTCAGACATCTCGCAGAGTTTTTGTAGGCCTTTCTGCCTAGACAATTCACGCGCAAAGAAAGTGTCTTTTCCTTTAAACTCTTCAAACGATACATTGATTGTTTTTCCTCCATATGTGAGCTGATCACGACAGGGTAAGCAATTTCTCTGACTCAGAAATACTGTGGGGTAGGGAAGTGATAGAGCGAAAACCGCGCATATCTTTTTAAAGCATAGATTTTAAAATTATTCTTTATAAAGCTATCTAAATAGGTATATTTGTTAGTGAAATATTGAAAAAGGAACGGCGTTAACCGCTTCTAGAAAAATTGACAAATGCCCCACCCTCCCCGGGCAGAGGTTTTCTGACAAATCCCTACCACCGGGACCTACAAGATAACAAATGCTCGACAAATGCCCGGGGGGGGGGGGATGGGCACATTTGGAATTGTCTGAGCCAATAAGTGTAACCATGCAGCTCCCAGCTTATTTATTCAGGCTTTCTTTCGGCAACTGCATAAGTTGCGTCTTTTTTTTTTTTTTTACCAGGGGGTGGGGCAGGGGGGAAAGCGCTACAGCCTGAAGTCAAAAGCAGCCGTGTTTTAGGGCGCGTTCACACGAATCCGGATATTTTTGAGACTGCATGTCTTTTTTTACGCCAATCGACCTTTCGTCCACA